TGTGAAGCAGCTCTGTGTGGTTAACTATACCACTGTAAGGAGAAATAAGCTTTAAAAATGCAAGCTGTGTCTCTAGGTTGGGACAGCAGTGAGTATTAAATAAAGTGCTTCAAATTAAATTGTAATGCTGCATAGCTGTTCACACAGTGCACTTTTATTTGAATTTTATATCAATTTATGTCATATAATTACTTCTACTTATTCTGGTTGCTTACTGAGGTAGAAAACAGATGTAAATATTATGTCTTAAGGGAAGCATATTATTCAAAATTTATGGAAATTTATAATTCAAATAAAAAGGTAACCACGTGGGCATTTATCTCCCTCAAACAGATTAATAATTTGTACTGTATATTTTGAAACATGAATATTCCCATGCTTTTTTCTCAATTTTCCATTCCAAAGGTAGATGGTGGGCATTAACCCAAACTGTGGTTGCTGCTTTGATTCCAGAAGGTTTTTAGACACTGCAGTAGAAAAGTAGCATCTTCAACTTGTTTCACCTGTTCCATGTCTCTGAGTTGTGCATGTAACCTTTTTCGTAGCCATGACATAGAAGATGGTGATTTTGTAAAATACCCCTTCCAGTTTTCTGTTTGATGCAGAAACCTTAACTTGTGGAAAGCTGAAAGGCTCCACATGACCTAAGAAGTTGGCTCTTGGTGAAGCAAGGGGCCTGAAAAAGGGATCAAGTTTCTCAAAAACTGGCTGCTTATGCAACATTCAAAGTTGCTTCGGTGCCATGCTCGTGGTAGCCAATTATAGCTGCAGCACAAAGCCTTCGTGTCAGTTTGCAAACAGAAGAGTTAATTGCCACATTGAACCTTTGAAATAGCAGATAAACAAATTTATTCTCTAAGATAAAAAGACCATTAATGTGTTCCTGCTGTGATCATCTGCCTTATTGCCTTTCTCATTTCCTGAGGCTCTGTAATTAAACCATTAACTTGCCTACCATGCCATGAGTCTGCTGTGGTAAGAGGAGATAGATGATGACCTATTTCATGATTAATTAATACAATTCATCTTGGCCTTGCATGGTTTAAAAAACAAACAAAATAACTTAAAAGCTTTTAGTGTTTTTGTGGGTATTGGAGGCACTGATAAAGGTTCTCTTTTTAATTGTTTCCTTGTTCAGATGAAAACATAGCTTGCTGAATAACATGATACGTCAAATCAGTGTTGCACACTCAGTCTGATTTCTGCATGATCAGGCTTTTTTTTCCAATTTGGTGTATGAACTTCTAAGATGAAGCTTACCTGTACCGTAAGAAGACTTAGTTTCTTCAGAAATATCCATTAGGGATATCTTAAAGGAATATCAATTCCTTTAAGAGTAGCTAAATGTCATGGATTTGCTTGTTCCTCCAAAGTAGATGCTTGGTTCAGTAGACACCTTCAAGTTAGGTCAGTTATTTCAGTTTGAATTTCTGGTTTCTTAGCTGCCTCACCATCTTCTTGTCATCTTTTATTTTCTCAACCAGTCAGCTTGGCTAGATTGATTTGTAGACAGAATTCTGGTAAAACAGCAACTCTGAAACTGGAGGATGTAGGCTCTGTGTAAGAAACAGGAATGGGGATAAATAGATGTCAGCCTTGGACTAGTGAAAAGGCTGTGACTGCATCACAGTAGCGAAGGGACAGCATGCAGAGTTCCTGGCAGCCAAGGGGTTTTCTGTTGCAGTGGAAGGTTTTGGCCAGGCAGCTGCATTCTCAACCTCTGACAGAGCTGCTTTCTTGCACATTAATCTCCTTTTCCTGATAGCCTTTTCAAGATACACTTTGCAAAAACAGGCATCCTAGAAAGTAGTTTTCAAAACAGTGAGCTGGATGTGGAACTTGATGTGAAGGAGCTGAGGAAAGCCCTGCTGAAGAAAGTAACAAATAAATAAAAAAAAAAAGCTTACTAAAAATGGAGCAGAGTGGAACCATTGCATAAATCACAGAGCCTGAACTTAACTTTTCACAAATGTGATGGATCTAATTTAAGCTTGAAGCAAGTAGGATGAAGCTGCAGTGGCAAGCTTGGAGTGCCTTTCCAGGCACTAAGCCTAGCCTGTTGCATAGCTAGAGATCCTGTCTTTCAAGGGTGGTCAGTGTGCCTTTATGCACAGCAAGCTGCATGGAAAAAATAGCTATTCTGATTAAATGTTTGGCTGCTTTGCTTTCTTTCTGGAAGTGGTGGACTTGTGCTAGAGATTTTTGAAAACAATTAATGAGAAGTGTATGTTCTCACATCAAACCTGGTTTTGAACAATACTGACTTTTGTTCTGCCTAATCTATTTTCTGTTTCTGACACAGCAGAATCTTAGAAGGCAATTTAACTCTTGTTTCCATGGAGGGACCCAGTGCAGCTTTGCCTTGGCCAAGAGAAATGTCCTTTTTTCCTATAAATAACAATATAAAAATGGAAAGGAAAAAAACTTATGAGTACTTGCTATTTCACTGTTGATTCTAAGAGGAGACAAATCAATCATGCCATGAAGTAAATAAGTGAGGTTGAAACTCTCTTTTGTATTGGCATTTGCATGTTAAACTGAAACTGCACTGACGTTACCTGCAGTAACCAATGCATTTTTTTAGATTGTGGTTGAAAACGTGTTTCTTGGTCAGCAAAGATGTAGCTAAGCTTTTGCTTGTCTTGATTGCCTTCGCAGGCCAGGAGTTTTCAGTTTCCAGGACAGTGTTGCAAATGCAATGTACCAATAAATGTAGTTACTTCTCTCATTCCCTAGGCATGACTTCTCTCACAAGAGTGGTATGGAGTGTTCAGATTAAAATGACTTGCCATTAATATTAAGCAACAGAATGTGTATTATCAGGAAAGATGCTAGCAATATGTTTTTTCAGGCATCTGCTTAGCATTGTGCTACAGTGCATAGGAACAGGTTCTAGTACGTAGGAATGAGTACTATTTATTGCTGCTTTTTTCTACTTTTAATGGTTAGATTACTTTCCCTTGAAATTATAGCCCAAAACAAATGAATAAAATCATAGAATCACAGAATGGTTATGGTTGAAAGGGACCTTAAAGATCATCAGGATCCAACCTCCCTGCTATGAGCAGGGAGACTTCCCCCCAGACCAGGCTGCACAAGCCCCATCCAACCTGGCCTTGAATACCTCCAGGGATGGGGTTCCACAACCTCCCTAGGTAACCTGTTCCAGCACCTTACTATCCTCATGGTGAAGAATTTCTTCCTGATGTTTAACCTAAATCTCCCCTCTTTCAGTTTGAAAGCATTACCCCTTGTCCTGTCACTGCCTTCTCTGTTAAAAAAGCTCCTCCCCGGCTTTCCTGAAGCCCCTTCAGGCACTGGAAGGTGCTCTAAGGTCTCCCTGGAGCCTTCTCTTCTCTGGTCAGAACTACTGAAGGGAAACTAAAGCTGTATATGATTGCTTAGGTTACCAGTTTATGTGTTGATGCCTATGTTGCTATCCAAAGCCACAAGCGTTTTTGCCACTTGATACTGTACTGGTACCAGGCATATTATTCACTGGCTTTGCATGTCTGTCAGCTTTTATAGGCAAGAATGTTAGCACAAGGTGCATCCAAGTGAAATGGAGTTGGTCACAAGAAACAGAGTAGCAACTGTTGCTATTTGCAATCCAGACACTGATCTTTTCTCCACAATGTAATTTTGGACAAGAGCCCTGCTCAGGGTCACAGCATCTGGTAGAGGAGTGGTGTAATTTTAATGAGGGTTCTGTAACCACATTTTCAGTGGTTTTGGTGCAACACGATGTTCATGTTTGAAATGGTAAGAGATGTGGGTGTTACAATATTTATCACAGAAGGAAAGGGAGAAGCTGTATCTCCCAAAGGATAGCCTAATTGGCATGAATATGTGAGAAATAAGCATCCTTTGTTTAGAGTGACTAGTACCAGGATGTAAATCTTCCCCAGGAAGACTGTCACCACCTGTGTAGAGCTGCTTTCTTTGTAGATTTTTTTTTTTGCACATATCATAATTAGTGTATCACTTCCAAAGGCAGACTGCTGGAATCTAAGGCGGTTTAGCTCATTTTTATACCCTCAAGAGTATATCTTTTTAGAATCCTTACTTACACAGATGGTGTTGAAAACAGCTGATGGAAAGAATAGGTTTAAGTCTTTTCAGTACCAAGGTGGTGAAAAGTCTGAAGCAGTAGGGATTCACCTCTGCAGTGGGTGCTGGGCTTTTAAATTACCCTCCTTGCAACAACAAAACTACAGATACTGTGTTTGCCAGCTGAATGACAGCAGAATCCATTGTGTGTTACTGCCCTCCCAGGCAAAAGGCTTGGGGAGCTGTTTTGTTGCTCTGAAAGAAAAGAAACCAACAAAACAACAATCTAAAAGGTATCTGGAAGAACTTTCATTAATTTTGGGGAATTCACACATGTGACTCTGTACGGTAAGATTATTTAGCAGGAATTTGATCCATTCAATTAATGTCAGTCCTATTAAAAATCTGTCTGTAGGCTTTGTGTATGTAGAGTAATATTGAAATGAACTCTGCAGATAATCCCCAAAATGTCTGTAGATCCAGCTTTTTCAGAATCTTCTTCAATGCCCTGAAAATACTGAGCTTCTTAAAGAAAATCCTGCAGTGAGCTTTTGTACTGTGTGACATGTATTTTAAAATAGGCTTAAGTTGTGCTGTGAAGTCACCAGAGATTCTTGAACTCTGTGTTTTGGATCTTCCGTCTTGCTAATATCTCTCAACTCCTAAAAGCCAAGGGACCAGGATGACCTACGTCTGGCTTGCTGTCCAACAGAAGAATGTTGTTTAGCAGCAGCATTCCTTCTAGGAATTTTTTTCCTTGATGTATTTCAAACAAGGCCCACAGAAATACAGTGTTAGGAAGCTGTTTGTTACTTCAATCTTATTACTTCTGGGCACTGTGGTAACTTGGTGAATACTCAAATTAACAGATTAAATTGAGGATCACCAAGCTCATTAATTATGCTCCTAAGTGTCAAGTTAGCTAAGAGTTTGAATTTTATTTCCTGTAGGTATTATCAACCCAAAGAATCCTAAGGAAGCACCAAAGTCCTTCAGCTTTGACTACTCTTACTGGTCCCACACATCGGTAAGTTCTTTTACAAGAAAACTGTATTTTTTTTCTGGTTTTCTGGCTTGATTTAACTGCACTATCTTCTGATCTTCCCATCCTTGTCAGATATTTCAGCCTCATTCAAGTTAAAAGCTTGTCATTACATGTTTTTTCCTGTTTGGATGAGAGCAGAAAGCTAAGCTCTTGGAGCTTGTTAACAAATTGTGGATATTAGATTGCTTTTTTTCTAATTACTTAGAAAAATTCTCCAACAGTGTTCTAATCTCAGTATTTTAAGGATGGGTGTGAACCACAGTTAATTCAGTTGTGCTCTTAAACAGGTGAAGGTTTCTCAATTCCTTAAACTTCAAGGAGAAATGTGGTTTGAGTTCCCTTGACCTGTCTGGAGAAGGCAGAGCAGGGATCCATGTTTCCAATAGCTGCAAAAGCAATCAACTCTCCTCTAGCTGCCCTGCCCCACCCTCCTGCAAATCCTATGGTCTTGCTGGCTTCCAGTAATTGTTCTACAGCAGAACTGTGGTGTTCTGCCATCTACCCCTCCCCATCCTTATTTTCTCAAAAGATATAGAAATAAGAGATAATGGATTTCTCAAAGAGTAATTTTAGTAATTTGGATGGTGCAAATAAGACATAATACTTCCGAGCAAATCTGTGGCTAACAAGTTTGTTTTCATGATGAAAAACTTGTGTTTGTGCAGCTCTTTTATGGAACCTTCCAGAGCAGCTGTGTAAGGAGGTTAGAGGATCAGTCAGAGGAACATCATGAGCATAATTCCTGAAAACCAGCAGATAAGCAGCATCAAGGAAAAGAACTGGTCTGAAAAAACCTTGAGCCCAACTTTAGAGCAAGAGCAAGTAATGTTAAAATCCAGCAGTTGAGGAAGAGAAAACATGGTAGATAAAGAATAACAGTCACATCAAATCTAGTGACATGCTCCTGCAAAATGGAGTTTCAGTGGTTTGCTGTCTGCAGACCCCTCAGCATCTGTGTAAATGATCATTACTGTGATAATTTTTTCCTAATTGATCAAGAAGGGACATCAGAAAGCTGCATCCAGCTTTCTGTCAGTGTTTTTGTGTCCCATACCATGGCTGAAAAAGCAGCTTTTATTAGAAATGAAATGTAGTGTTGTTTTGCATTCTAGTGTTAGAAACATAGTGTCAGGTTTGGTTTATATCTTAGTGTTAGAAATATATAGTTTGTTAGAGATAAGTGAGATATCTGCACATTCTAAGGACACCAGGAGTGGTTTATGGCCAAGAAACTGAGGGAGTGAATTGGGTTCCACCTGGGGATCTAAACAGGGAGAAGGATTTATGGCCCAAGATAAGAGTGAACAAAGCCACTTCTGTCTTGCTCTTAGGGCAGGATGACACCAGTAGATTTGTTAATTGGGAAGACAGCCCAGGGGGCAAGAAAGGTTAAAATTTTACCTTAAAAGGTAAAAAGTAAACTGCTAGAATGGAATGTGTAAACAGGGGCGGGAAACTTATAGGATAATTTGAAGCGTGGGATAGGCTGTAAACCCTGGAGTACCCAGCCAGTGGGGAAACAGGGGAGGGAAATTTGCATCGGGAATAGGGAATATAAACCGTTATTCACCTTACTGTGGGTGTGCCTACTTGTTTAGGTCACCCATTCTTGCAAGAATGTAAATAAACTGTGCTTCGTTGAAGGATCTGTGTGGGCCTGTTAATTGGCACGACAAACGTTTCTCACACTTTTACTTCTCTTTTACCCCTACTGCCCCTCAGAGCCTTTGTCCAGACACTGGGATTTTCATAGCTTCCAGCCTTCCGTTTATGTTTGTTCTCTGAACTCTGCTTTTGTTTTTCTCCCCCCTGCATGGCTCCTCCCAGACATCCTGAATCTGGTTTGTTGGTGATCTTGCACAAAACTTTTTCCAGTCGTGTCAACAGGATTCACAAACCGGAGTTGGTTGGTTTCTTTGTGCAGATTGTTTTTTTTTCCTCAATGGTGATGGACTGGTCCTGCAAATATTGTCATTGCTGTTCTTCTCCAACTGGTACTGCCTTGGGAAAAAGTTGTGTGTGAAAATGTGTTATATTTGCCTCTTCCCAAGGGATTGACACAAGATAGAAGTAGAAAAAACCCCAGTTGCTTTTTTGAAATATTAATTGAATGATAGGGTAAGACTATTTCTGTTGCCTTCATGTCTTTGCAGCCTGAAGACCCCTGCTTTGCATCTCAGAACCGTGTATACAATGATATTGGGAAGGAGATGTTGCTGCATGCCTTTGAGGGCTACAATGTCTGCATTTTTGCCTATGGACAAACTGGAGCTGGGAAATCCTACACCATGATGGGCAAGCAGGAGGAGGGCCAAGCAGGCATAATCCCCCAGGTAGAACAGAACCCAGAAAGGGGTTTCGTTTTTATAGCACATTCAGACACACCTTTGGTGGTCTGCTTTTTGTGTATTGCAATAACAGTTAACAGAGAACCACAGCTTACTTCTCAAATGAAAGAATTCTACTGGGGAAGAAGTGCATTATAAGTGATTTTCCCTCTTCTACTTTTTTTGTTTAGATTGTACTATACAATCTGGATGTTTCTCCAGTTCCCCAAAAAACTAGTAAAGGAAGGTGTTTTATTCATCAGGTTTCTTGTCTCTTTCTCTGACTTTAGTTAGTACAGGACTTAAGCATGTTGTATTCAGCAGGTTGGTGTATTACTGATGACCATGCCAGAAACTTTGTGGAAACAAGTTTCCCAAAGCTAAACACTGAATAAAATATCCTGGTAAGAGAAGAAGTATCAAAACATCAAGGGGAAAAAAAGTTAGGGCAACAGAGCACAGCCCAGTTTTATTACCTCCCTTCAAATTTCATGTCAAATATCAAAAACAAATTTGAAGAAGTGGAGAGAACCCTCCAGGGGGGTTTGGCTGACAACAATTTATGCTGTTCTAATGAATTTAGCATTCTCTAGCTGTTGCTTGTGTGGCAGTTAAGTGCAGGCGTTGCTCAGTGTTGGAGATGTGTGTTCATCCATTCCCAAAATAGAAACCCGAGGCTGAGCTTCAGTCTTAATAAATACACTGAACAGCTTGAGTCCTCATTCTGCTTCAGATTTGCTGTAAATGTTGGCCCTGTGCCACAGGTGTGAAACAGTGACACAGACCATTGTTCTCTGTTTAAATAGTGTGGGTGTATGTACTGAAATCGGTAGCGAGTGTTCTGGGAATTAGCTTAAAATAATGTTGAAAGAGCTAGTGTGGACAGAACTGTTGTATCTAAGCATTTAGTTTTTATTACAGTAGTATAAAGTAACAGCATAACACGTAAAATGAGCTGAACATCTGTGACAACAGCATTGTGCTAAAACTTCTTGCTGCAGTCTTGATATCCATATTTTCTTTCCTGAACTTCAAATGCATACGAATTAAACATTGTCTTAAACCCCCCCCCCCAACTTAATAATGCTCCTGTTGATTTAAAAATGCTACTGTTGTCTACTACAGTTTTAAACCAAAGTAATTTCCCTCCAATTTCACTGGGTAGGCCTTCTCATAAAGGTAAAAGATTAATTATCTCTTCATGGATACTTTGTTGAATCTGTTCTTGTTCTTGTCATGTACGCAGAAGGCACAATCCTGTTCTAGTAATGCAGGTTGTTGACATTAAATTCTTATGTGTTGGCAACATTCCCTGTCTTGCAGTTCCTGATGTGAAACATGATCATACTTTAACCATGTGTTCACTGAATCCTTCAGAGTGAATGCTTCCAAAATTGCATGTATCCTTCATAATCTCTTTATTTCCACTCTAGTGGCTTGTAGATACCTGTTCCAGAAACCTTTTTCTACTCATATTCCCCTCTGTACCTGGGCTTTTTAGTCTCCAAATATTTATCTGTGGCTTGTCCACAGTTCATTTTTTCATTATCTTCATTTTAGGTCTCTCAATTACTTGTAGACAAGCACTCTTGAAGCAGTAGACCACTGATAGTTGAAGTATCCTTCATAGGAAGTTACTGTTAACAAGCTTTGAAATAATTTCTGCCTGTTGATTTAAATCTGAATCCTTGGATTTCATCACTCCAAACAGACTTGTTTTTGAGATTAGAAGAGGATTAAGGATTTCAATAATTCCTTTCTAAAATTATTATTTCAAATTTCAATTATGATAGGCTTTTTCTCATTTTATAGTACAGAATAATACTATTGGTTAAACTTAGAACAATTGTTGATATTACATAAAGTAAAATTGAATGAGAATGATGTAAAATTAAGATGTATCTTCCCAGTGAGGTTGTATGTGGTGGATGTAATAGGTTCTTTTTCTTCCTCTACCCTCACTCTAAAGCCAGTTTACTCTTACACTAGTTACTTGTTACTACTTAGTGAAGAATAATTTCTGACTCAGCTTTAATCTCTTTCCAGCTGTGTGAAGAGCTGTTTGAAAAAATCAATGACAACAGCAATGAGGAAATGTCATATTCTGTAGAGGTGAGTATGGTGAGAGATTGAGGACTATATGTGTGCTGGGCATCAAACTGAGCTCTAGTGCTGTGCTCTTGATGCTGCATTAAAATACTCGTGAAATAAAAGTAGGTGCTTGGCAGAAACAGTATTTTCTTATTGTTTTTTTCCCCCAACCAGTTTTAATGGCTTGACATGCAATATATTGCAGGCTTTGAAGGAAAGGAAGACCATAAAATCTGTACAAGTCAAATGTGAATATTACTAATAAATGTGAACTCCAATTGTTATTGCTTCTGAATTACAGAACTAGAAACTAGTTCTACACACTGCTCCTGTGGCTTTGAATCTGTCCATTTTAATGCTTCATTTACTTCTGTTTTATTAATGTTTGATGACTTAATGGTTGAATGCCATAGGAGCATCACATTTAGAATTTGTGAATGAGAAGATTCCCACGTTTTCATGATGTTTTTTCTATTTGGTACTTGTTTATCGTTCTGATTATGTCTCCAAGCATACGTTTGTGCTTGTGAGAGAGAAATAGTCTCTCCTAAATGAAAATCCAAAACAATGAACATCTGACAAGTAAGCAGAGAAGGGAAACAGCTAGACAGAAACCACATTGGAAGTGTATACATAGTGTGTTGTGATCTGTTCTGGATGTAGAATTCTGTTTTTCTGAATCACATTATTTAGAGATTGAAGATCTCTCTTTGTATTTCTAAAACTGCTGCTTACTTCTGTAATCTTTGCACAGAATGAAAGTGAATAACTTGCTGTCTCTTTTAACATTGAATATCTTGACTGCTGGAGCTGCTAAGTACCTGCTGGAAAGGGATAAGCCTAGTGCAATGAGAAATACAAAAATTAAAGAATGCATTTAAAAATAATCTTAGCTGTATAATTTATTTCAAATGTTTTTGGTACAGATTTAAGTTTACTGTAGTTTGAATAATTGTATGGATGACTCAAGAATACAGCAGGATGTGGGCACAGCTTAGAATCACAAGTAGCTTCTGCATGCAAATACATATTTTTTTTTTCCCCTCCTTAGGTTTGCTTTGGAGGTTCATAGAGATGACTTGCAGGCAGACTCCTTGTTTGCCGCTTTAGATGGTTTTGCTGCTGTGTCATATTAAACCTGTTAAAGATGTGAGCTCAAGTGTATAATTGTTAATTAAACACCAGTATTTTTGAAGCCACTGATGGATCTATACAAGGTGCAAGGCCTGCAGCTTATCTGGGAGATCTGATGCATGAGACTCTTCTTTTCTGCCACTGGCTGAAGCTGTTACATGAACTGAGACACCTATCTAGAGCTTTCCTGGAGTGGGCTGGGGGAATTTCTGCCAGTGGCACTCTGAACTGCTGTAGAGCTGCTCGTAAAGGAAGACTTAAGAAGCATTAAATTACCCATGCAAATTCCTGCTTTCAGGTGAGTTACATGGAGATTTACTGTGAGAGAGTCAGAGACTTGTTGAACCCGAAGAACAAAGGGAATCTGCGGGTGAGAGAACATCCTCTGCTGGGGCCCTACGTGGAAGATCTCTCCAAGTTAGCAGTCACATCTTACACAGACATTGCAGACCTCATGGATGCTGGGAATAAAGCCAGGTTAGTGATGGTAGTATGTTACATATTTTTATCTCTGTTGTAGGTATCTATGTCATATAGCACCAAATTTTTCAAGTATCTTCAGGGATGCATTATTGCTTTTTAAGTAACTTGCATCACATGAGGAGTGTTGTTGAAATATGCACTGATCAGTGCTGCTGAAAGGCTGAAATTGATTTGTGTTAGTAAATTGTGCTGCAAATTGCAGTATATGCATTTAAAGCTTGTAGTAGCTTGAGATAAAGTATGTACCTAATTATACTGGCTTTTAGTTCTGCCTTTGTGTACTGCATCACTGTATTTTACATGTTTATTTCTACATGTAAAGTCAATCTCATTCATTTGAGTGATTAAGGCTAAAGCTGGCATTTTAGCTTTAGCTTCTTGTTCCTTAGTAGTTGTTTTCATGTCAACTGTAGGCTCCATTTAACAGTGTGTGGGTAAGACTGACATAAATGCTGCGTGTGTTTTCTTGTGTGAGTGCAAGGTAGGTAACATTGAGTTACACTGAGCAAGTTCTCTTTTAACTGTGATGAAGATGAGAGTCATTCAGGAGTGAAAAATCAAAAGGTTTGTTAATGGTGTTCAGCATGGCTTGGTCTTGGTTATAGAGCAGAGTATAAACTGCAGCCTCTACCTTTACAGCTGCATCCAGCATCTGCAGTGTAGAGGCTACTTTTTTCTAAACACATCTGTGTCTGTTGGTATTTTAGGACTGTGGCAGCTACCAACATGAATGAAACCAGCAGCCGCTCTCATGCTGTTTTCACCATCGTCTTTACTCAGAAGAAACATGACACAGAAACTGACCTTTCCACAGAGAAGGTATATTACAGATAACAACTGGCTTTTTGATGGTTCTTCACAAGTCTTGCCTGCAGTAACTTATTCTTAGTGGCAGTATGATGAGAAAAGAGAAGTAATTGTTTTTTTCTGATGTTTTCTTTAAGGGTGAACTTGCTGTCTGCCTTGGCAGAACCTTTCATTTCTTGCGAGATTTTTTTTTTTTTCAGTGCTGAAAACAACTAGATGGAGAATATGTGCAGGAGGAGAATAGATAGGTGTGGGAAATTCATGGCTTTAAGGACTAGGTTCTGTGGGGAGGGATAAATGAAATAAAAGGAGTTCATCTTCCCCAGTCCTGTTCCAGAACTTTCTGTGGCTTTGCTTCTCAGTGCAAAACATTTGCCTTGTTAGTTCTTTTTTGGGGGCACAGGAATTGAGTGAGACTTGAGCACTTTCTGGAAATTGCATGTTAAACTGTTTAGCACAGAACAGTTTTCTGTCTTATATTGCTCTGAAATAGAGGTTTTGCATCCAAAAGTAGGTGAAATACAGGTAATGTTCACATTTCTAAACTGACTGCTTTGGACAGATCTGAAAAAGTTTTATGTATGGAAGGCCCTCTCCCTTCCAGAAAAGGGCCAGATAAAATTCTGTAAAAGTATCATTAACTGGCATGCAGTCTGCAATTAAAGAGATAGGCCAGTGCTTTATTGTTCGTGTCACTGAAGTCCGGATGGAACATAAAGCTTCTTTTCCTTTCAGACTCTTGTGTTGTCTGTAGCAGTAACTCTTCATTTCTTTTGACTTCTGTTGTGCACTGTTCATGAGACTTGTTGTCTCTTGAGGTAATTGAGAGAATAGTGACACTTAGAGCTTAATCCCACACATTTCTTATCCATAACAAGCTACTTGGTTTGACTGCATTTTCAAGCATACTACAGTGATTTTTTTTTAGATGGTAGACTTCTTCTCATGGCACAGAATTCTAAGACGTTCTCACTCTAGTTCACCAAGAACTACTTGTAGTTGTTAATGTGCCTTCTCCTTGCAGGTCAGCAAGATTAGCCTTGTGGATCTAGCTGGGAGTGAACGAGCTGATTCAACTGGTGCCAAAGGAACCCGATTAAAGGTATGGGGCCAGTTCTGAATGGGGAAAGAAAGGGAAGTGGGTGCACAAGCACCATGTCGAGTCTTTGACAAATAATAAGGAAAAGAATGCATTGCAATTTTAAGTATGGAGAAAATACTTGCAAAACTGAAGACTTTATTTTTTTTTCTCTCTGATCATGGCTGTGACATTTGGCTTGCTTAGTTGACAGAGGTTCATGGATGAACAATTCTAATTACTGTATAATACTGGATTCTGTTTTCTCAGGAAGGAGCAAATATAAACAAGTCTCTCACAACTCTGGGCAAAGTTATTTCAGCACTGGCTGAAGTGGTAAGTACAGCATTTATTCACCTGCAACAACCTTTCCCTAACTAGTAAAAACCATGCAGTACAGCAGAACTGTTCTTGGCCTTCTCAGCCAGTTTAGTTGTGTATATTTTGACAGATGAATAGTGTTGATAGTACTCTGTGAATGTCATGCAGATGGATAGAAACTTCATTTATTGATAGATCAAAGCATTGGTTTATTTAGCTGTGAAGAAGCCTTGCAAAAGAAGCCTGCATTTGTCTAGAAGACAGATTCACACAGCAAGCTTTTAGTTCTGCAGGGCAGTGATTTTATTTTTGTTTGAAAGAGTAATTTTAGAAACTAACTGCAGCTTTATTGTTAATATTTTTAAAGTACCAGTGTAATAATTTGATTATCACTGGCTTTTCTTGCAGTGGTAAGACTTAATAATGTCCTGAGTTTAATGAGCATATCTTGATCCAAGCATAACATTGTAGGTTTAGAAAAGTACTTTCATACACAACTATTGTTAAAAAAAACCCCAAACAAGTAAATTATTGCTGTTACTTTTACAAATAGTTCTCAACAGCTTGGTACAGGTTGAATATACTTCAGTGCTTTTTTGATATTTTTCTTCAATGAAAACTGCTCTAATTCATTTGGCTTCTCAAGAAGAGAAAATCCAAGCTAACATGGAAATTTATATATAAAGCTCTGTTAAGAATCTCATATTGTACCTTATTCCTCTTTCTTTAATGCTTTCAACTTAGGATAACTGCACTAACAAGGTATGATGGTCTGAGTAGTAGTTGATGGTGTCTTTTTTGCCTGAGTGTAAGATTTGATTCTCTTCACTTTGGAATCAAAAAGCAGAGATCTTTACTGTCAGGTCTTTGAGAAATTCCCATGAATATAAATTAGTCATGAAGCCTGAGAATTATGAGTCCTAAAATATTTGAAAATGTTCTAAGGTTGGGAATAATTTAATGCAAAGTACACATTTAAGTATGTATTTAGGAATATTCTTTTTTCATCCCTGCTCCTGATTTGGTGACTTAACTTGGGAATATTTACTTTTAGTCAAGATGACTTGGTCTTTGCTCTCAAGTTTATACTCTCCATGTTGTTTTTTTTTCCTTTACCCAATTGATGAATTGTTGGTGACAGTCAGTTGTAGTTTTTGAACTTAGCATCTGGTGCTTACCTCTTCCTAGTAATTTTACTTGTCCATTGGAAGGTACCTCACCTTTGGCAAGGTACAGTAGAACTACTGCAGGACTAACAATCACATTTTAAGCACCTTGTGAGTATTAAGAGGAGTTGCACACAAAATATAATCAGGCTTTTTCTTGCAAAGCTATACTCTGTGTTAAATATTGTGCAGAATAAAACTTTTGGCATCTCTTGAAGCAAGTTGTTTACCTACTAATTATTTAGGTAGGTAAATGGATGACCCAAGATTCATGTTCTGTTCTAGAGGTTTTGAAGTTCTTGTTTCTTTTAGACCAAATGAAGAATGATGAAATTTGGAGGGAAGTCTGTCAGAGGTGCTGAGAAAGGTCTCATCTCTTGTGTGGAAGTTCTTCATTTGTCACTATTCATTTGGGGACCAAGCACATAGATACTTAAACACTCATTTTGTGACCTTGTGCTTTAGTTTGAGTAGCTGCAATCAAGTTTTTGTCTTTTTTTAAAACTAAAATAAAACCAGAAAAAAACCCTCCAAGTAACCTCCTTTCTACTGACAGTTCTAATTTCAGTGTCCAAGCACTTTCACCTTTTCCTTCCTTGAGTTTCCCAATAACTGTTTACAGAAACACAGGAAGATTGGCTAGTTGTTGGGATAGCCTGTGCTGCTCTTCTATAGCAGTATCATGGTTCCTCTATATATACACTATGAATTTTATGTCTTAAAAATTAATTTTCCATTTGGTTTCTGTTCTTCAGCTGTGTGTTCTTTCTTTGTAGAGTAAAAAAAAGAAGAAGACAGACTTTATTCCATACAGGGATTCTGTACTAACATGGCTTCTTCGAGAAAATCTAGGTATGTCTGACTTGCCTGTGCCAATGTGAAAACAAATTGTCACCAAATTTTCTGACTGCTTTTGACTCACTTAGCTTAAATTTGTGTCAAGTACAAAGTTAAATATTATACTTAGTCAAATCTGAGTCATGTAGTTCCACCCTTTATTCAAGTTACAGCTTTCTTTCCCATTTTTTGGGTGTGTTTCTTAGTTATGTAGAATATAGTTGAGCTCTATGAATTATTGAAAATACTGATCCTTGGTAGGTAATTAGTGCCTAGATTGTGCACTGTAATTCATCTGAAATGTTGCCTATTCATTATAGGTGGTAACTCCAGAACTGCAATGGTTGCTGCTTTGAGTCCTGCAGACATCAACTATGATGAAACTTTGAGCACTTTAAGGTATTTTCTTTTTATCTGAAATGGATGGGGGTAGGTGTTAGTGGTAATGACTACAGGCTGTCTTTCAATGCTTTGGGTTATTACACTTAGAGAAAATCTGTGGAGAAGACTTGGTACTTGCAAGAACTCAATTACCCAGAAAGAAGAAAACCAATCTACTGTATAAGGAGCTAGGGATTTATTGCCTACTCTTAACTTGAAAAATCAAACTCATGTCTTATCCAAGCTGAGGCTTCAAGGCACTGAAGAAATAAGAAAAAAACCAAACATGTTATCTGTTATACATATGATGCACCTTGTTAATCAGTTCTGAATATAATTTGTCTTTTTAGCAGTAATAACCTGTATTAAATACAAATTCAAAACCATGATTGAATAGAGTGCAGGATTCTCTTCTGACAGCTGCAAGCTGAATGTCTCCTATGTTGCTGCATTCCTGTGTTGCAGATGAGCACTTATATGTTCATAAGGTTTTGCTTTTTTGGTTTGATTCCAGATATGCTGATCGTGCAAAACAGATTAAGTGCAACGCTGTGATCAATGAAGATCCCAATGCTAAGCTGGTGCGTGAGCTGAAGGAGGAGGTGACAAGGCTGAAGGATCTCCTGCGTGCCCAAGGGCTGGGAGATATTATTGACAGTAAGTGGATTAAATAGGCCTTACCATCTGTAAGCTGGTCTCTCTTACAGAGGACAGAGCTGGGCCTGTGAGAAGAAGGGATTTAAAATTTTGAACATGGGTTTAGGAATGATAGCCTCTACTGTGTAGAAACAAGCCACCTTCAAACTCATAAGGAAAAACATGGAGATTGAGTTTCTCTTTAGTGTGTATGGGATTTTTATATAATATAGCTTACACGTTCAAGAGTTGCCCTGGTGAGTTATGCAGGGCCTTTTGTCTGGCTGACATTGAAAGGAAGATAGTTGAGATAAAGAAACTTAATTTTGTACAGAGGGAGAAAGCATCTGTAAAGGGTTAAAGTTGATACCTGGCTCCAAGGCCATCCTTGCTCAGAAAAGAAAATGGTGGCTCATTCCTGTTAGACAATGTCTTGAGTGACAAACTATTTGTCATCTCAAAATAACTAGCTATGAAACAACTGCTTGTGAATAAATAATGGATTATTTTGGGGTGAGATCTTCAGTTAGGTTGGCAGAGCTGTATTGTACTGATTTGCTTTGCCAGCAACCTCTTAAAGCACCAGAACAAACTTGTGCCTGAATTATTTCCTGGTCCTCATTCCAAGCAAGGCAAATAAATTAAGATTTATATATTGTTTTATGATATGACCAGGGATTTAATTGCTAACTAAGATGCCCATAAAAACACAGAATGCATCCCAGTGGATTAAAAGATACCTTGACTTGGAAAAATAGATTTTAAAAAAAAGTGAATTTTGCACTAGTTTCTGATTTGTCAGAGATTATTTCCCTGTGAAGCAGAAGTCCTGGCTTAGTCACAGACTGCTTAAAGAAGTGCAATATGTGTCCACCTTTTTGTATGCTTGTTTTCAAGAGAGTGGGGCCAGAAGACAATGAAATGCAGGTGTTTTTACGCTTCGTACAGTCTGTGTTCTTACGTTTTAAATCCAAACTGAAAAAAACTGTTAAAAAAAAATGTGTTTTGTTTCTTTAAACATTGAGTACTATTCTCTTCCCTTCCTGTGTCCTGGTGAACCTGCAATTTTGATCCTTCTTGTATTTTCCCTCCTGCTTCTTTCCAGTTGATCCAATGGGAGATGAATACTCTGGAAGTGGAGGCAAATGTGTGTACTGTGTGGTTCTCTTTTTAACTTGCTTTCTCTGGGTCAGCTTTTAACTGAGCTTTGCATGCCAGCATTTCTCACAGGGAAATCCCAGACAGAACACTCTCTGTGGAATGCAATGCAGTTTCATGGAAACTAGCTTAACCAGCATTTCTTAGAGTGAAAAAATGTGCAAAGATTAAAATGCAACATATGTTCATTGCTTTCTTTCTGGCAGAATGTAGAAGGGAGAGTAGTAATTCTTTAGTCTGTTTTCATGACAGCCAACAGTTTAGATTCAATCTAGAGAATCTTTTTCTCAAATCTTTCTCAAGTTACTCAGTTAAAACAGCTTCTCTGGCCTTTTAATGTCTCCTTTCCACATAGAAGTATTTGTTTTAAATGTTTTAACTCAAGATGAATGTTAGCAGTTCCTCCCAGAGACTGAAATTTATTTTGTATAGTCTCTTAAAAAAAAAAAAAAAAAAGTAGTTAGACATCTTATACTGATTAAGGTCTCTTATTTGAGCTCAAATATGTGGTTGCAGATTATTAATTTAGTAGGGTTAGAACAGTCAGCAAATAGCATTTTATGTTCTAGTGTTTGCTTCTATGGAAGGGAACTATATGTAGTCCATTGCAGGTGAAATGTGTATTATATATCATTTTGGGTTGGTAGACTTTTTAAGCTCTTTCATTCAGTCATCTTCACCCTCACTCAAACAATATCAGCTGGAAGAGATCTGTCTGAAATTTCCTAAAATTAAAGCTACTGGTGTTGTAAAGACTCATCCTGGCCTTGTCTTAACATTCTGATGCTGCTTCCAGCGTGTGCCTATGTCGTCATCCCTGTGAGAGCTGCAGCCTCCAGGAGGAGTGTGCATGATGTTGAGGGGTTTGGTTGTCTGTGGTCTCAGCTACTGGAAAAAGCTACTGCAAGTGCCACTGCCTTTGTCTTCAGGAGTGCATGTGTCTACAGGCCTTTCCGAGACTTCATCCTCCCTGCTCTCTCATGCCTGCTCTCCTCATCCTGATGGCGTTCCCTTTCCTTAACCTTCTTCTTCCACCCCTGCTTTCCTGTATTTGCAGATGGTGGTTTTCAAACTGACTTGATCAGTTTCATGAGGCTGAAACAGCAGTTTGAATGTGGAGTGAAGTAGGGCACAAGGCTGACAATAGCAGAATTGTTCAGGGTAGGAGCAGAGGAGATGTAGGAGGGCATGGAAATTTATGCAACGTCTGTGTGAGCATCTCATTTTCATAAGTGTGAAGCCTTTGTTTATAACTTGCAAGGTCTGATTTGACCTGTTTCTTTCCTAGGGATACTTATTTTAAGGGATTTGTTTTTGAAATAGCATTAAAAACTATAAAAAATATTAAAACTGAGCTACTTAATTGTCTGATATTTCCACATTAGAAGATCTTTTCATTGTGAGATTATTCTGAGGATATGGCAGACATATCTGGGAAGTTAATTAGATTAAAATAAATTATCTTTGCATGTTCGTTCTTAAATCATTCATGCACTGTTTTCTGTCTTTCAAGGAGACATCTTTCAGGCCTTCAGGTTTTCAGGCTACACAAGCTGCCTTATTACATTTTGGGTTGTTTTTTTTAAGGCCTTCCTCATCTAAACTAAGACCAAAAAAAAGCTTTAAAGCATCTTCTTAAGTATGAGAGCCTTATCAGATATTTCACTGATCAGATATCATAGATTTCCACTTTTTGGATAAGGAGGGCCAAGAGGAAATACAATGTTTTTATTGTGAACTTGATTCTCCTCTCCCTGCCACAGACTGACAGTGATTTACATACTCGCTCTCCTGTGAGAACTGTAGCTTGGGGAGTTCTTTGTCCCTGTGGTCTGGATGTTTCAGCAGCAGAACCACTGCTGTGATAAAGATTCACTTAATAATTTTAGATTAAAGATGCCTGGAAGAGAATGTCTTGCTGAGTTTAAGGAGTTGGTGGCTGTTGAGGCTTCAGCCCAAAATGCCACTAATCGCATCAGGAACAGAATCTGCTCCAGGTCTGAGCTCCATGGTGCTAAGTTTAGTGTTCAGTTAGAAACAGGATAGGTTATTTTTTGTCAGTGTGAATTTTTTTCCCAAGATTTTTTGATCAAAACAGTTTATGACACAGTCCTTTACTAATAATCCTGAGGGTCTGAACTGAGTTATCTTTGCCATGGATACTACTAATAAAAGATATGTTTCAGAACTGCCATCTAAAAATTACAAAACTTGTCTTGTTGCTGCTTAAATGCTTTCCTCTTACACTGGTCTTTCCTTCCTTTCCTTTTTCCTGTTCCTTCCCTCTTCCTGTTTTCCTTTTCCCCACCTTTCTGCCTTCCCCTCTGTCTGTGTGTCTCTCTCCCAGATTTGAAAGATTTTCAGAACAATAAACATAGATACTTGCTAGCCTCCGAGAATCAACGTCCTGGCAATTTTTCCACAGCCTCCATGGGGTCCCTCAGTGCATCTCCATCCTCCTGCTCTCTCAGTAGTCAGGTGGGCTTAACATCTGTGTCCAGTATACAGGAAAGAATCATGTCCACACCTGGAGGAGAAGAAGCAATTGAGCGTTTGAAGGTGGGTATTGTTGTAGATTAAGGAGGTTTTTATTTTGGTCTCTTCCGAGGGTAAATAGCAGTGAAACTGGTTGTTTCTATACAAAGTTGTCTGAAACCCACTTGCATCTTAAAATGGCCACTTAGCTGTAGTGGGCTAGAAACTGGGTTCATGCACAGCCTTTCCTGTTAGGATTATTTAGGTCTAACTGTAGCCTGGAGCTACAGCTATAACGTAAATTAAAATCTTTAATCTTATTTACAAGTTCTCTGATACAGTGGTTATTGTGGGACATTTAATCATAAATATAGACTTCAGGAGGCCTGGTCAGCACCAGTGTGGTTAAAGTCTGACTAGCAAATGTTTTCAGAAAACCAAATTATCCCCAAGTTAAAAAAAAGAAGAGGAAGAATAATTCTGCCACTGTTGAATTTGCCCAGCCCCCACAGATTAAAATGTGAAGCACACAGAATAGCTTGCTTTATCCAGACAATAGCAGCCTTGTCTCAGTTCTGCATAGAACTGAACTGCATCAAAACTGCATTACAGTGAAGTATTTCTTAATTTTGATGAAAGACCCCCCCAATCTCCATGGGTGGATGAGTGGGAAGAGCTGGCTGTGTTAAATCTGTGCTTCATTCTCATGTCTTGTCCATGAGACACTGTCAGAGGGATTGGAATGGGCAGGAAAACACACTGCATTTCCCTTTCCTATTGGAAACCTGCTGTTGCCATGGAAATAACAGTGTGGTCTCTGCAGTTCCTTGGCATCCAGTTACTGAATGATGTCTGTAAATCAGATTTAAAAAAAACCCCAACCACTAACAAACAAACAAAAAACCAAACCCAAAAATTAGGTGGTTCAAATTAAAATCTGATTGTGGTTAAGCATGAAGTTACTTTTCTCCTCAGATTGCCTTTGAGGCCATTTACCCTTTTAAACATTTAGAAAGACAACTTGGAGTTTTGAAGTGCTGAGAGTGTTTTTTATAACCAAAATTAATTTGAGGTCTAGAACTGAGCACAAACTTTTAATTGCTTTGTGTGTTATGTAAAGAACTTTGAGAAGAATTCTAAAACAGCTTCTGGCATTTTCACACAGGAATCTGAGAAGATCATTGCAGAGCTGAATGAAACATGGGAAGAAAAGCTGAGGAAAACTGAAGCCATTAGGATGGAAAGGTCAGGAGTCAGAAATGCTGTAGATGTGGATACTCTCTAGAAAATGAAGTGTGGAAAATGGAGAATGTTCCTGTGTTCAAAAGCAGTGGAACAGCAGAATAGTGCTTAGTGATAATTCTGTTCACCCTTGTGTTATGTAAAACTCTTGAACTAAACTTTAGAAACTTGCCATATTGTCTTATGAGGTGGTGACAGTCCTGACTGTATGGTCACTGGACAGACTGGTTGAAAGTCTAATTAATGTATGTCATTACTCACCTTCATTAGACTTTATTTTGTCTAATAAGCCTAAAATCGGGTCAATCACTTGTTTTTATCCCTCAGGGAGGCATTGTTGGCAGAAATGGGAGTTGCCATTCGGGAAGATGGAGGAACACTGGGAGTCTTCTCACCCAAAAAGGTAAGGAAAAATGATAAGTGTTGCATCATGTCCCCTCCTGGGAGGGGAGGGTGGTGAGGGACCTACCAGTCACACAAGGGCTTGTATTCATATTAGATACAGAAGAATATAAGTGAGGTTTGGACCTTTAGTAGGAAGTTCCTTTTCCATTATCTTTTCAGAAATAGCTTTAGTGTTAGAATGTGTCAAAACACTCTGCATCTGAGGATTATTTTGCCCATAATAATGAAGCTGGCTGCTGTTCTCAGGCAAGTGATGCAGGATGGTGCTCATAGGCAGCTGCAGAAAGAATTGCCTGTGGTACCCTTCCATTGGTGGTTAAAAGTAGGGAAGCATGTGCTGGTCTAGTGCAATGATGAAACAGGGGCAGGGTGAGAAGCTCAGAGAGACTCCTGGTATCACAAAATGGTTGAACTTTTTTTATACCTTCCTTCAGAAAAATCTCTGCTGCAAGGAGATGTTTGTAGCTCCTCGCATGTTGATTCAGTAGCAACTCAGAAGTGCTGCCTCTTAGCTTATTGTTGCCATTTTGTGCAGTGGCTGAGTGTTCTGTTCTTTGAGATACTTGAAATTTTGAAGATTTTTTAGGTGCTCTTCCTTGAAATCTGTTAGTGTTTTTTCCAAGGGGAAAGGGGATTTTTAATCTAATGAACCACTGGACAAAGGTGATGGAGGGGAATATTTCTTTCAGTACATGTCAGTAGTTCCATTTTCTGAAATTTGAAAGAAACATAACTGTGCAAAAAAAGGATAAATCAGTGCTATAAAGGTAAAATGGTAAGTTAGTGAAAAAGCTCTCTATGGAGTGAAAGCAGAATTACTGAAGAACTACGAGGAAAAGAAGCTACTTTCTTGTTTTTTCAAAAAATCTTTGAACAAGGAGCATATTTTAGGGTAATAGTAAGGGTAATACTTTACCCTGAAACTTGCACGTGCAAGTGTGCAACAAACTTGATCTAAGGTTAGATGGTGACCAATGTTGTACAGAAGCAAAGCACAGCAGAACTGGTAAAAATACTTAATCCTTCATTTAAAGTAGTGTTAGACTGATCTATTTGGAGTAGGTAGAACTCTGGTTTGCTTTTGGCATCTACTCCAGAATTGCCCAGGGTTTGTAAAGACACTAACTCATTGGGTGTTCTTTACATTTTCTTCTCTTATGTTGTGGATCCTCATCTCCTTTTTAGATTTTCCCTCAGAGGCCCTCAACTCTTTTTGATGATTCTTTTGGTGCATTTTCTGCTGATCAGGTTTGTGTATAAGTGCCATCCGGATTAGGTAGTTGCTTTAGTAATAGATGGTATTTATTTTTACCCATATAGGATTGATTAGGAGAAGTAAAACTCCTAACCTAGTCCTGTCTGCTTCTGTTCCTTCCTATCGTAGCACTTCAGTTTCATTAGTTCTCCTCCTAATAGCTCTGGTTGCTCTTGTGAAAATGTAGATGTAGATAGCAAATTTGAAGTTTTTGTTTGTTTTTTTAATAAAGACTTTACACTTCTGGAGTATCAGTATAACTCTAATCATATACTACTAGGACAGCATTGTGCTTTTACTAGCTGAGCTGTAAATAGAACTTTGTAAGGTACATTTTGTCCACATCATGAATTAAAAGGTATTGTGCAATCATTGCTGTCTCTCTGGGTTGTGCCTCTGATGACAGGAAGCTCCTTGAAATAGGCTGTGGAAATTTAATTGCTTGTGCTGCCATCAGAGGTGGGAGCAGGGAAAATCCTTCAGCTCATGCTTGAGGAATGCTGTCCAAGAGAAGGCTGCAGACATAACTGTCTGGGCATGAGTATCTCAGAGTGAGTGAACAGCAGGTTTTGCTAGCATCATCTCTCAAGCAGTTGAGCTTTATTTCTTACAAAACTCTCTGTTGCCTGTGAAAGACCCACTGAGGCTTTGATTTAACTTGGTAAATGAACTTGGATGCTAAAACATTTATGCATGGGTTACATCACTGTTGTCAAAGTATCCGACTAGTACTAGCTATAGTGGTGTTGCAGCAGTTGACTGTGCCTGGGATTTGGTTTATCTCCATTTTTCTCTTGATTTAAGAGCTTTATACAGCTCCAAAAGTTGATCTGAATGCAGTGAAGAGCAATGACATAATGAGACATCTTCAGCTGGGGTTTCACGTGAAAAAGGCATCCTGTTGCTTCCCTCCTTTCTCTCTTCATAGTTAAGTCTTCCATTGGGCAATTGACAGTCCAGCTTCTTTATTCAAAGACAAATTTCATTGTGAACATCCAGTAATTTTTATACTTCTGTACACTGAGTGCTGTTAACATCTCTCAAAGCTTTTTGCAGCTAGAATATGTTGACAGAAGCAGTGTTTCCTAGGAATTGTAGCCATATTTATTACCTTTTGCTATATTTATTGTATTTGAGGATAACAAAGAGACAAGTGGCTTATCAACAGTTTGATTTCTCTTTTATCATCTGCTTTAATTCTGTTTAACCATTTTTGCATTTTCTTTTGTGCTTGTGCTTACTGCTGTCTCACTGGCTAGATTTTCACACCAAGGCCTTGTGACTTGTTTGCTGATTCCAATGGGGTTTTTTCACCAAAGAAGGTTGGTTTAGTAACTGTAGTGGATTTAAATTTAGCAGAATTTAGATTAAGAGTTTTTAGCTGTTCATATCAGAGAATGTTGATAGTTTTAGATTTTTCTTCTCAAGTTAACAGACTTTGCCAGATGATCACCTGACCTGTACTGCCCAAGAAAAGCCAAAGTTGATTCCACATCAGTTTCAAAATTTCACTGCAGTAACCTTTTCAGCTGTTGGAGTTTCCTTTTATAAGTTCTCAAAGACACCACAAGGAATTTCTTTTTTTCCAGCAGAAGCCTTGATTCCCTCTCTTTATTGATATTTCAGATAAATAAGCAGTCTGAGCTGTATTTCTGCTGCTCCTGTGTGATGCTTTTCAGTACTGCAAGAGGTTGTATTTTAAAAAATGCACTATGGAAGAACCTTGATACACTCAGCAAAACTGCTGCTTTCAGATACATCCTCCACAGCTGTGGGAAGAAACCTAAAAGTAGGTCCACAGTTCTTAATTAACTTTTCCTTTTTTTTTCCCTTTCAGACTCCTCATCTTGTAAACCTTAATGAAGATCCACTCATGTCTGAATGTCTGCTTTACTACATCAAAGATGGTATTACTAGGTGAGGTTTGGTGCTAATATGCTCTGAAGTCTGCTTGCTTAAATCCCCAAGCTGGAGACGCCGTGAGTTTAAATAACAATTGTGCCTTGAAGCTATTCAAGTTGCAGGTACAAATAAAGCATGAGATTGCTGTAGGTGGAAAAAAGTACAGAAATGTATTTTTTATTAAAGTTGATTTTGTGCTTTAGAAGTAATGTGTGCAGTCACTCAGCTTTGTAAGAAGTTTGTTACTACACCTGGGTAGTAAAAGAAAACATTATATCCCTTTTAAGATACAGGAAGACTAAAGTAATAGAATTCCCTGAAAACACCTTTGGTATTTTGATGGGTGGAGGGTTAGAAACCATAGTAATTGATAAAAGCAACCAGAGTATGGATTCACTTTATTGTTGAAATAAACTGTTATCCATACCTGGCACAATGTATGTATTCTGCATTCACATGTATGAGATTAATTTTAATTGCCATTTTTGGAATTGAAAACAGATTTTATTCCAAAACTTGTTGTCTAGACATCTGGAAGAAGAGAGTTGGGTTTTGTTATCTGTGGAACCATGTTTGGTTGCTTAGTTTGTATATTTCTGAGGAGCAAATGAAGGAGAGTACACAAACAGGTGCAGTTATATGGTACTACTTTAATATGCATTGGACCTACCGAAAAGAGCATCAAACCTGTACAGAATTCAACATAGAATGAAGAGAATAGTTTGGAGCTTTATCATTATAAGTTTTTGAGCCTAGCTAGCTGACATCAGAAGTATGTAGAGTAGTAAGTACAGCAAGAAGTTCATAAAGAAGTTTTGCTGGAGGGAGAAGAAGAGTACACAAGAGGGAAAGAAACCAGAGGTCTTTAACATTTCAGTTCTGTGTTTTGAGAGAAAACTTCTCTTTTGTCAAGCTGTTATCCTCCAATTCCTGGTAAATCTGATGAGTTATCTGCAACAGAGAGATAAGCAGCAGTTCTAACCTTTAAACTTGAAGGATAGTCTTAATAGTTTAGACTTTTTTCCTGGATATTCCTGGGATGTATTGTTGTGCACAGAATTGTAGCAAGTGTCTGATGTACTCTTGAAATATCTTCTGTTGGACCCAGGGTTGGCCAAGCTGATGCTGAGCGAAGGCAAGACATTGTATTGAGTGGGGCTCACATCAAAGAAGAACACTGTATCTTTAGAAGTGAGAGGAACAACAATGGTGAAGGTAAAAAAAATTACTTCTAGCAAAGTGTTGGTGCATCTTTCACTCCTCAGTTGATAGTTAACCAGGGGATGCTGGTATTGGAAAGGTTCTTTTACTTCAAGGAAACAGCTTTGAGTTGCTGTTTTCTTGAGTCTTAGGGGGAGAAAATAAAATTTGTTTCAGTGATAATAGCTTCAGATTGCAGGCTGCAGTTAGATTTTGATCTTGTTTAACTATAAACATGCAGATTCAAACAGAAAAAAATCATCATTTCCAACTGCAATGTGGAGATGTCAGAAGCATTGATTTTCTCATGGGGCTTTATTTCTATTTTAAAGAGCAGGGTATCAAGGAGTGCTTCAGTTGTATCTTTTTTTGGATGTTAGTAAGAAGATAGGCAGAAAATTAGAGGCCTCTAGGGTTTGCTCACTTGTGTTGCTGTGCAGTGCTCTCTAAAATCTCACTCATCAATTGTTTCCTTTCTAGTTATTGTTACTTTGGAGCCTTGTGAACGATCAGAAACTTATGTTAATGGCAAGAGAGTTGTGCAGCCTGTACAGCTGCGCTCAGGTAAGAAATATTAACATAGATGTTTTTGTAGACTCTTAGTTAAGAATTACCCATATGTGACATTTGCATCACAGGGAGAGAAAGCTGGGTGCTGTTCAAAGACAGGAGTGTTAATGTTTTGGAGTGTTAGCTTTTAAGGAGAGGTTGGGTCCATTCTTTTGGCAGCAGTTTGTTTTCTTCCATTCTTTGCTGCACTAGTTGTAAGTGAACTTCAGTGTTCACTGCCACACAGCATCCTGCTTGTCCTTCTGCTTACTCTGATATTATTCAAACACGTTTTTGCCCAAGCCTATTGCCCTTGGCAGTCTCAGTGAGACAGAGCAGACTGCCAGTTGCTGATGGAAAATTCCCAGTTCCTTGGCAGAGCTAAGATATGAGCCTCTGCAGGAGCACAACAGCTTTTGTTTGCTCTCATTACATTTCCCACTCAGTCTCCTACATTCCTTTAGAAAGGTATGTGGGTGAATTAGAAAGGAGGGAGTGACATCCATAAATTATGGGTCTTAACCTATCTCCTTCATGCTATGATGTTTTCTTTGTCCCTCCCTCATTTTTCTACTGGTAAAAACAACGAAAAAACAACCAACCAAAAAACCCCAAACATCTCTGAATTATTTGCATAAAATTGTAAGTGGGTGTCTCCATGAAACCAAGTGTACTGACTTGAGCAAGAGTTGTTGCTGTTCCATGCCTGCATGAGAGTCATCCTGAATACCGTGATGTTATCATTTAAGTAATTGTTTTAAAAAGTAGATACTTTTCCTTTTATTCTACATATAGATAACTGAGTTACTAGAAGAGCATAGACAGGTATCTGACATCTTTAAGCGCCTGTATTTCAATTATATATTGATAAGGACAACTTTGGTTACTTTGGTTATTTACTAGAATGCCTTTCTAAAATTTTAACTATGTTAATATTTCTGGAATAGCAGGGGCATTTTACTGTCTGTCATATTACACGTCTCAGGCTTTGTGAACATCTGATATCTCTTAAGAGTTAGCCAGAAGATTTAAATATTCTATTTTTTCAGATCTTTTAACATTAGTGTAAAAAAGTTATAAAATCCTTCCATAAATCCTATTGATTTGGACTCTGATAAAATCAATATGTGTAAACCACATTTTAAAGAGAAGTAAGCATCATGCATTCCAGTGTTTAAAGTTTGGCTTTTCCATGCTGAAAATTCTGCTGAAGTGACTCTTGCCCATGTTTAGGTTCTGTCACTGGCACAGAAGAATGGGATGTAGTGATGTGTTTTATTTGCTGCCAATCTCCAAGCTTATCCTTTAATTTTTTATAAACTCTGCTGGGATATTAGATTGGCCTCCTGAGAGTGATGTTCCCCTCTGTGAGCACTGCTTCTGTTCAAACTAAGCATTCTTCATTTTTTCTTATCACTTAGATAACTTGAATGTATACATAAATCCTTGCAGGGTAATCTTTTCTTGCTCTGTGACCTAACAGGATAAATGGGATGAATCATTCAGTGATGTCTTTCAATGATTTTGGAATCCTTGCCTGAAAGAGTTAATTTCTGTTCCTGTTTTTAGGAAATCGTATCATTATGGGTAAAAATCATGTCTTCAGATTCAACCATCCAGAGCAAGCACGAGCAGAAAGAGAGAAAACACCATCAGCTGAGACTCCCTCTGAGCCAGTTGACTGGACATTTGCTCAGAGAGAGCTTCTGGAAAAGCAGGGCATTGACATGAAGCAGGAGATGGAAAAAAGGTAACAACTCAATTTCTACCTGAAGCAAGGAGGAGTCAGCTGTAGGTTACTTGGGTGGTGTCTGTGCAAAACTTAAAGTTAGGTTTCGCCACACAGCATCTCTGCTACCTATTGTGAAAGCTCAGAAAGGTTCCTCATTGTTTTACTAAGGTGTTTACCTGCTCTACCTACCTCTTTTAAAAATCCCAGGTAAGCACCTGTCATAACCCTACAGCTCTTTGGTGAAGGGCATGAACTGCACCTCAGAAGTTTCACTTGTTAAGTACTATTATAGACAAATAATAGCTACTTTTAAATTTAATGACTTTTGCTCTCTTCACTGTAGTTCAGTGGGCTGTGCATGTGGCAGAACACCAACATGAATATACTGACCTCTTTGGCTACTTCTGTTCTTTTGTTCACCTTCAGATTACAAGAAATGGAGATCTTGTATAAGAAGGAGAAGGAGGAAGCTGATCTGTTGTTGGAGCAGCAAAGGCTGGTATGTGTCCTTTCTTCAGATTAACTATACCTTTGGCAAACAGTAATTCCTGTCCTTGCTTATCTGAAAGTTTAGGAAACCTGCTTGGGTTGTCTGCACAATGCAGTTCTCCCCTTCCTTTCAAATACTTTATGTCCACAGTGAATTATTACCAGTGTGAGTAAGCTCCTTCATGTTAATTCAGAGATTGGAAAATGAAGTGGCTTTAATCAGTTCTTGTTGGGACAGGTTGAATTTCTTGCAACTTAACCTGAAGGAAGGGCATTTTTATGCTCTGTGTTTTTTGAAGTTCCTTTTCAGTAGTCTAAACATCTACTTCTTGGGATGTTAGCCTTTATTTTTGTCTTTGATCACCAGAACATACTAATTTTGTGCTGCCAAAGAGATTTCTAGAACATTGATACACTAGGTTTATTTTTTTGAATGATGTCTGAAAATGTTGCTGCATTGTGCATGTTTTAACCCTTCTCCCTCCCCCTGCATGGAGTTCCTTGTAAGGGTCTTAATGGTGCACATGTTGGTGGGGTTATGAGCAGGGAGCAGAGTGTAAAGAGCATGTTAACTCATTCAGAACAATGGGAGTTCCACAATTCCACCTGTTTCATAAATAGGAAGTCTGATAAGTGTGATAGAGGAAGACTTCAGTCTTCTCACATCAGATGTCTTCTGAAGTGCATTTTCTAAGAGAAATGCATGCAGTCTTCAAGCACCCTGTGAGTTTTAAGAAAAAGACAAAGTCCAGAAATAAAAACTAGATTTCCTTCAGAAACCTGAGTCTCCTGATGTTACTGTAATTATATTGGATTGTCTTTTAGCCAGAATGCAAATGTAGTTGTGCCTGAATTGTAATAAAAACTTCAAAATCCTGATTCATTTGTTTATAGTTTTAGTTTGAGACCACTGAAAACTGTGGGTTAAATTTATGCTGGGTTTTAAACTGCAAAGATCTTCCCCTTCTCCCAAAAGCAGAATGGAGCAAAGTACTGTGGCTTCTGTAGGTAGAACCTACATATTCTTTACAAATTTATTTTAAATACATAGACTTCTGCATCTCTGGTTATTTCATCACAAGGGATTGATTTCTTGGATAGAGAGGAGTTGTTGCAGACTTTGACCAAAAGCAAGACTTAGTTCAGAAAGGAAGTTAGGATGTGACAAGATGTGACTAATGTCATCTTTCATCTCTGCAATTGTTATAGTTAAAATCCGTGTAGCTGGAAGTGATAAGGCAAAAATCAGCTCAATGTGCACAGAAAAACAGGTTGAGTGTTGAGTGAGTTTTGGCTGTTTGTCAAAGGAAATGTAAGCAATGGGATTCCCTCCCTTAAATTTAGCTGACAGGCATAAGCTGAGCTATTGTATGAATTCAAGGGAATTGTGAGAAGTGGCTGTCTGGGGAGCTGGTTCAAAGGAGGCTGCATTTATAGTAAGTGTTGTGAAGGGAATTAGTTTCCCTGTATGCTTAAGACTAAGGGAAGGTTCTTGAGACAGGGTGTTGTCTAATGCTGTAAAAAGGTTGCTGAGTTCTTCAAGCTTTTTCTGTTCTTGCTGATTTCAATTAGTAGGCAAAGGTGGAAGACTGTCCTACATGCATTACCAGTGTAATTCCTGAAGGACACCTTTCCTAGCTGGTGGTATCATGAGATCATTGGTCTGTTAAGCAGTATCCTGCTTTTTGCCATGTTTAATGAGAATATTTCAGGTGACAGCAAAACTTCTTGACACATCTCATCACTTCTGTGTCACTGGATGCAGTCTGGAATGGACAGGATTAGTGCATTCATATGACATTATCTGAATAATGATTGGAAATTTAGGAATGCATTTAGCCTCTGCACCTTAAAAGCATTTACATTGCTGCGATATCAGGTTCCCTAACTTACTGCTGTGTAAGAATGATATTGAAATATAAATATTCTTCTAAATTGGAGTATGATCTTGGATATAAAAAGATGGCTGATCTGTTTAACAGAATGGCTT